GCGCTTCACTGCGAAACTGGGTTGGCGGCTGCGACGCGACTTCCGCTGGGCGCGAATATCCTTCCGCTGGCGAGTTGGACTTGGCAGGGCGCAAGTGGAGATTGGGCAAGCCAACACTTTGGAGCTGAAATTGGCCATCTTGTATTCGCCGGTGAAATGGTTTTCGCGAGCCGCGACTATGGATTTGCAGGGCGCGAATTGGGTTACGCATGCGAAAATTCGAATCCTACTCTTTCCTTAGCAAAAATCCAACACTTAGCAATATTTTGACAATTTTCGCCCAAAAATCTCGACTCAACTTACAAACACTATAAAAACTCAATTTCGCTCATTTTTTTTTTGGGCTCGGCTCTAATAAGTCGGGATTGCCGAGCAGGTCGGCACGAGCTCTCGATTGATTTTTTTTAATTAAATGAAAAGAAAGGAAATGAACAAAAGAAAAAATGAAAAAGAAAAGAACAAGGAAAATAAAAACGTGGGTTGCCTCCCACGAAGCGCTCGGTTTAAAGTCGTGAGCACGACTTTCCCTTCAATTCAGAACTCACCCGGGCATGGCTCGACGAGCTCCTCCAACCACATTCTCGAGCTCGTCACCAAACACATTTGCCCACTTACTTCTCGGAGATACCGGGGGCTTCTTTTTCCAGCCCTCCTCTTTCTCAAACTTTATCCCTTTTTTTTGTGAATTTTCACCTACCGGTACTCGCATCATCTTTCAAGCTCGGCGGGTTGCCTTCCGGTTTAATCTCACCACCCTTTCTCTTACTTTTTGACCCCTTCTTACTCGGTTTTGACCCCTTACCAACTCCAACATCATTTTTCAATTCAAGCACACCCTCTTTACCTACAACACCCTTTTCATTAGATAATTTAAGATTAGAGTTGAGATGTACCTCATTGTCGAAGTCCTCCACGAACGAGCATTGGCCAACTTTGGTTGGAGCGTCCCGGGCATTGTTCATTGTGAAAGTCACCATCTCTCCATGAGCCGAGTGTTGGGATCTATGAGGATCTCGATATGCACAAATCACGGATAAACATTCAAACATAAACCTATGTAGATCTAGCTGGCCTGAACAGATGACCGCAAATCAAATCTTCTCGGAATCGAACAAACTTGACCAATCCAGGAAGTTGGTGTCACGGCGAAGTCAACGGCGTTGACCGGTCGGGAATCGGAGTGTCCACGCGCTCTCACGCGCGTGTGTGAGTCTCAGCAACAGCAATCCTCCGGTGGCGCGTGTAGGCGCGTGCGGCGGTGGCTGGCGGCGATCTCGACGGCGATCTCTCTGACTCGTCATCCTGGTCGTCGTGGTATGGTCACTTGCTGGTTTTGGTCTCCGGTTT